GGCAGCCTCACAAAGCATCCATGAGACTGCACTCTGCCAGCCCATCTCTGCAGCCTCCTGGGGTCTCATCCATCATATGGAGATAATTAGCCTGTTGTTTTTGAAATCAGTCAACCAGCCTCATAATCACTTTCTCGAAAACATTCAGGCGATTCAATGACCGATGATGACAATGGGGAGGAGAGCACAGAGAGAACAGATGATGTTTGCTGATGTGCTAGGGAGGGAAACCCCTGAAAACCTGGGTGGGACACAGATGGAACAGCAAAAGACTCAGGGACCTGAGGTCTCTTTACCCTGTCAGGAAGGTAATCAAATTGCTTTTATTTTAGTGTCTAGGTCTATTTGGTGTGGGGAATAAACTGATGCTGAGGCAAGCTCCTGGCCATGCATCCTTGATCTCCGAGCTTCTCCAGCCTCCCCTGCCCTCTCCCCCCAGCCCCACAGTATCCCTGCACAGTTCTCAAAGATCGGGGGCCCTGGATATGGAGCGTGAGTCTCATCTTGGCCTCTTTCTCACTTGTTGCAAGAACCCTGTCCACATTACTTTGCTCCTCTCAGGCTTAGCTGCCTAGCGTACAAAACAGGGACCTGGCTGCCACTATATCTGGTTGTTTGCTGTGGCATAAACAAAGATTTGAATTTTTTACGCCACCCCCATGTGACCCTGGAAAGTTATTTAACCTGTCTTTACATCAGTTTCCTCAATTGTAAAATAGGAATAACATTGTTGACTGCATATTTTTGTTGTGAGAATTAAATGAGGTAATACTCAAAAGAAGTGCCAGGACAGCACTCAGGACACAGTGTGTATACCATGTAAATGTCAGCCCCTCCCTCCTGGCAGCTGTAAGTGCAGGTGGTATAAAATACATGGTAACAGTAACATGTCACACTCTGAGACTGTGAATCACTGGAGTTTTCAGGACACACCGCTCTAACACACCCTGCCTTGCCTACACTTCCTCATTCTATTCCTTTTACAATTCAGCCAGTCTCAATTCACTGCCACTCTTGGAATATGATTTTTGTTTTTTAGCCTCTGGGCTTTGTTGAAGTAGCTCCTTTCATGAAAAATACTTTTCCCTCTTACATCTACCAATTTATAATCTTTATGGAGTTCTCACTCCCCTCCTTTGGCCACCTGCTGTCCCTTATCTGTACTTTTATGGCACACCCGACCGCATGCTATATGGAGTTTGGCTGTCCACGCCCATTTCCTCCTTTGTCTGTAAGGGCCACATTTTCTTCATCTTTGTGAGTCTCAAATGATTAGCACGCATTAGAGGTCGAAAAGATTCGTCCTGATGAGGTGAATGTAGAAACGAGTAAGATGTGATCTCTGTATTAAGTCCCAGTAAAAAATACTTTGCCTAAGGTGGCGTGACTTTCCCAACATTGCCCTGTTAGACACATGGCAATGTTAGAAACGTGTGTTATGCCCTGGATGACACATGCCCTGTTGGAAATTTTGTGACAATGTGGTAGGGGCAGGGAGATGGCCATGAGGTGGAAAAGAAGACTTCCTGGAGGATGTATCTGTGTGTGTACGTCTCAGGGAGAAGCTGATTGGAGAGAATCTAAGGGGGCTTAGAAACATTGCCTGAACCACAGATACACCTACTGCTAAATTATCTTGCTTTGTGTGTACTGTGTTGGGGCCCAGGATTTATTTTGGGGGTGAACAGTGGACTGTTTTCCCTCCTCAGTATGAGGACAGGCTGCAGCATGTAGGCGGGGGAGAATCTGGGGCTCGGGCCTCAGGTTATTTAGTGACTGGGTGAGGGCTGATACAGGCAGCAGCTTTCTTTGCAGAGAGAAGATGGTGTGAAAACCTGCCAAGGGGAAAGCACTCAGGGAAGGACAGAGGTCAGGAAGGCACCGACGTTGAGCTGTGAAGTGACAAGTGACTTTTATTTTTTTTAATTTTAGAAGTTAGCAGAAAGAGCTGGTTGGCTTTTCTGGAGGAAAAATTCAGTGGTTACAAATTTAAATTCAAGGAAACTCTACTTAAATTGTAGTGTGTTTCTGAGCAGCACTGGCCTCCCAACTAACAGGCAAAAGATTTTCTGGACAACTTGGTGGGTTGGGATATTAAAAAAAAAAGTTACTTGGTATGGTGGGCTGATACTATGCTTCTTAACCTCTTCATTATCATATAATTTTTTGATAGGATTGTAGCAACTTCTATATGTGTTAGAATTACTTTGGGCAAATCCCTTTAACACTGAACCAGCTAGCAGGATTCTTACGGGTTTCAGGACACTGTTCTTCCTCTTTCCTAAATGTTGAGGTTCCCCTGCAGGTTATCTGGCCAACACCAATTGCTCACAGAGGAGAAATTGCACCACCTACCCTGAACACCCTGAGTCCAGATCTTTGGCTGTGTCAATTTTTTGATGTTAAAATTCTGACCTCTGTTGGGTTCAGATTCCTACACATAACAGTGAGTCACAGGAATGAGTTACCTCACAGGTACAATAAGCAAGATAAAAGGATGATGGTTTCAAGAAGGCATTCTCTATGCAATATGTAGGTTGGGGGCTCAACATATTAATATATATGCTGATAAATTCTATGGCAAGCTTCATGGGATGATGGAAAGAATGTGGAATCAGAGTCAGAAAACCTCAATCAAGTCATAGCTTTACTTATCTTGGTTACCTTGGGCTGTTGACATCAAGTCACTCGGAAATTCTTTTTTTAAAATTTTAATTGGAGGCTAATTACTTTACAATATTGTGGTGGTTTTTTCCATACACTCACATGACTCAGTGGAAATTCTTCTAGAACCAGGTACTGGTGGAAAGAATAAGTATCCTTTAGCTCTTCTGAGTCTTATGTTCATCAACTACACAATGGAAGAGTGACAAAAACTAATACCAGTAAACTAACACATATGAAGTATTTTGGAAATTGTCAGTTCACCATAGCATGCTATTTTCATCATCTAAACTTTTAATATTTTATCAAATCCAAGGGTAAGAGAAATCATAAGCAAAAACATGGGCGACGTTACCAATATTTTAAAGGATTGGAATCATTTATGGCAAATGGGTATGTATTCAGAACCATCATTTCCATTCAATCACGTGAAAAACAATCTTGGGGGGAGTACGGCAGTAAAACCATCTCCAAGATTTTCTCTTAAAAAGTCGGCCCTGAGTGAGGAGCTTTGTGTCCCTGGAACACCTGGCAGGGAACCCATATGCTGACAACCAGAAGTGCTTGGCCACCTTCTATTCTGTTTCTGAGACTGCAGGATAGGAGACTTATGATACAAAGTCTGAACCTGTCCTAATTCTGCTTGTGGAAGGGAAGAAGTGTGGGGTGAACCATGGAGTCTCACGCTGGAGTGCCCTTTCAGGTGGCTCTGCATGTCCTGCCAGACCAGACACAACATAATCTTTCTGCCTGAACCCCGGGGTAGCAAATGCTAAACACTGTAGTCCTTGGAGCTTGAAAACCATTCTTAGAGTTAGGGGGACTTCAGAATCAGGTGGGCTAATCTGACTCTACTTACCTAACATGAAGTGGTTGCCTTGGAGGACCCCTGGTTGTGACATATTGTCTTAGAAAGAAGCATCCATTTTAAAAACAGACTCTGCAGGTAATGTGGGTCAGTTCAGTCTATTTTTAGTTCTGCTTTGGCAGTAACCACAAAAGAAGTCTAAACTCACTTTTCTGAACCTTTGAATCATGCTGGCATGTTCTCACCAAAGACCTCCCCTCCCCCATGGTGAGAAATAGGACCGATCAAGGGTTGCCAGTGCAGCTGCTGCCAAGTACCCCTGACACTCTTCTGAGGCTTCAACACTTCTGCTGATAAATGGGGACAATTTTTTCCCTTCAGAGATAGTCTGACAAAGATGGAAGGTCAATAGAAAGGGCAATAAGATGTATGAACCCCAAAGTAGTGTTTTCAGAAAAACTGATCATATCTTGACAGTCTATTGCTCTAGTCTATAATTTGAAAGCATGTTCTAAGATGGATAGGAACAGGGAGTAAGATAAAAGGCAATTACATTAAACCTGGAAAATTCCCTCTTCTTTAGACAAGTGAAATATTTGCATAATTTCATAGTATGGAGCAGACTGATTATAATATGGAGACAATCTTCCTCTTGAAGTATAAATAGTTTATGGATAGTAAACTGTCTTGCACTACAAACAATGATCTTGTTTCAACTTGGAAATGGTTTGAATGGTAGGAATTATTTGTACTATAAGAATTAGAGAAATGATTTGAACAAGGTTCAGAAAAGTTTAAAGAAGGTCCAAGTCCTCTAGGGTGTTGTATCAAGAAAATCATAGCCCCGAAATGAAAACAAACTCCCCTGCTCCAAACCCCACAACCTATTCCCTTTGATTGCTAAGGGGCTTCCCTGGTAGCTCAGACAGTATGGGGTGACTTTCAACGCAAAGGAACCACAAACAAAAATGACAAGAATAATGAGGGTTACAAGAGGAAGACTATGAAAACATAAAAGAAAGAAAAACAGAAATCTGTGTACGGGTATCAGGCATTTAAACGTAGACAGACAAAAGCAGACCCACCAAGCAATCTATTCCTTTCAAAAAACACTGAAAGTAAGCTCCTTAAGACAGAAGGAAAGCAGAGCCCCAAATACAGAGCATTAAGAGCACCAATTATAACAGAATGCCCAGATGCTTCCTGGAAGCCAAGCAGCCCTTCTCCACCCCACAATATATGTTTAGGAAGTTCATTACCTTAATTAGGGGCTTTCCTGGTGGCTCAGACAGTAAAGAATCTCCCTGCAATTCAGGAGACCCCAGTTTGATCCCTGGGTCAGGAAGACCCCTGAAGAAGGGAATGGCAAGCCACTCCAGTATTCTTGCCTGGAGAATCCCATGGCAGGCTACAGTCCATGGGGTCGCAAAAGGGTGGACACGACTGAGTGACTAACACTTTCACTTTAACTACACCTTAGAAGAGTCCTGGGTTGGGAGCACCATGATCGACAGCCATGGGAACTTACTAGGGCACCTCTCCTCTTCCTCTGTTGGTTGCTCCTTCTCTGGCTTGGGAGGGCCTTTGATTCTCTGCACCAATGCACAGAATTTTCCAGTCCAAGAGGTATCTTCTTCTTCCACTTCCTCTTCTTCCAGGGGAACCCCTGAGCAAGCCACAGAAAGAGGGACAACTCAAACAGTACACAAAGCCACCAGATAACTGAAAGAACATAGAAACACTGCTTTCCATCCATTGGAACTTTCTAAATATACTATTGGAGCTTCCTATAAATATTTATCTACATCATGTCTTTTGGCAAGCTTTTTAAATGATAATTTCTTGTATACAAAAACATAAAGTAATTTCAATCTCAAGACTTAATTTTTTCTAACCCATACCCCAAATGGGCTCCAGAGTATCTAGAAACAGTTAACAACCTGTTACTTCAAATGAAAAAGTCATCTCTTACCCATATCGCTCTCAATCTACTCATGTCCAAGCAGCACAATTGCTGATGGCCACTTAAAACCAGCAGATACATATCAAGGTAGAAATGGCTGGTTCAGAATCCTTAGGAGCAGACATGGTCATACTCATATCATTGCAGAAGCTAAAAAGCAAAGGTGATCAGAATCTTGGTTCAACTGGGAAGAGTGTCCCAGCTATCTAACTTGAGATAAATTGGGTGAGGTTTATATAAAGATCTATTCTTTTCTTTCTTTCTTTCTTCAGAGACCCAGTCCCCTCTCTTAGATCTCAGCAACATTTCTTGTAGACAGGAGTTTCAGTCATGTATTATTCCAGGATGATGTCCTATATCTTTTCTGATCCAAATAGTTTGGAAAGAATCATTTCTTGGACAATTAGCATTATAATTTTAATAGAAACTAACTTTACAACCCCCCATGAACTTCTAACCAAGGAACCGTGAACGGCCTTGTCTTGGATAAAGCTTTTATCTGGAAGCTCACCGCAGTGAAGGAGAAGGTCCTCGTGGAAGTCGTATAGCTCTTCCCGGATCTCTTCTGGGCATGGGCAGTTCTCCCCCAGTTGAAAGTTAAGAAGCATGTTGATCTTGGAGGGATGAAAAAGAATGGCTAGTTTGTTCTTAATGTCTTGTCTAAAGAACTCAGATCCAACCTTAGATACCTAACATTCTTTGCAAACTTTATTTAACTCGATTTTTTTTTTTTTGGTGTGTGTGTAAAGACAGCCAACATTTAAAAATAGCTTTTCATAACTGAATCACTTTGCTGTGAAACACTGTACATGTTCAAAGTTCTGAAACACTGTAAATCAACCATACTTCAATAAAAAAATTAAAAATAAAAATTTTTTAAAAGTGCACAAACTTCCAGTTATGAGATGAGTAAGTCTGGGGCTGTAATGTAACAACACTGTGCATGAAAACTGCTAAGACATTAGCTCTTTTCTACATTTTTAATTGGAGTATAATTACTTTACAATGTTGTGCTGGTTTCTGCTGTACAAGAAGAATCAGCCCTAAGTACACATATGTCCCCCCTCTCTTGAGCCTTCCTCCCTCCTCACCCCCATCCCCATCCCACACCTCTAGGTCATCACAGGGCACTGAGCTGAGCTCCCTATGTTACACAGCAGCTTCCCACTAGCTATCTATTTTATTTTTTCCTATTAGTTCTTATTAATTTAATTAGGCAACATACACATAGTTAAAAAATAAGTACAAAATATACTCAGCACAAAGTTTTTCTCTCACTCTGATTCCTTGCTGTTCAGTTGTTAGGGCGTGTCTGACTGTGACCCCACGGACTGCAGCACGCCAGGCTTCCCTGTCCTTTACGACCTCTTGGAGTTTGCTCACACTCATGCCCATTGAGTCAGTGATGCCATCTGACCATCTCATCCTTATCTAGTTTACAGGTAGTAGTGCAACTTTCTCAGTTTGTCCGGTTTTCTCCTTCCCCCTCTGTGAGAATAGATCTTAAAAGTTTTCATCATAACAAAAATAATTCATAACTATGTGAGGTGATAGGTGTTGACTAAAATTACTGTGATGATCCTTCTACAACATAGACAGATATCAAGTGATTATGGTCGTACACCTTAAGCTATACAATGTTCTGTGTTAACCAAACCTCAACAACTGGCGGGGGCGGGGGGGGGGACACCACTACAAAAGCAAAAAAAGGAAAAGAAAACATTCTAGCAATATTGCTTTACATCACCAAAATACTGTCTCTGCCCTCCTTCTCTGGAATAACCATTATGGTGACTATGGCTCTAATCCCTGCCTTTAAGAATGCAAATCAATAAATGTAATACACCACATTAACAAATTGAAAGATAAAAACCATATGATTATCTCAATAGATGCAGAAAAAGCCTTTGACAAAATTCAACATCCATTTATGATTAAAACTCTCCAGAAAGCAGGAATAGAAGGAACATACCTCAACATAATAAAAGCTATATATGACAAACCCACAGCAAGCATTACCCTCAATGGTGAAAAATTGAAAGTATTTCCCCTAAAATCAGGAACAAGACAAGGGTGCCCACTCTCACCACTACTATTCAACATAGTTTTGGAAGT